CCAGTGCTCCTTCCTGCCCATGGCGGGGGGGTCAGACTAGATGATCTGTCTAGGTCCCTTCCGACTCATTGACTCTATGATCCGAAGCTTCTCTGGATTCGAAGCATGGTCCAAAGCCTCGCAGAGCCCTACCAACTGGCTCTTCTGAGGAAACTTGATTTTTTGGAGGAGTGCAAACAACCACTGATGGTGATAAAGAAAGTCTAGTAAGACCAGGTAATTAATTACAGGCAGGAATAGTGCAGAAGGACACTAACCCCTCAGACTCTTCTTCTCATTCTGCCAATTACATGACAGTAGACACAGAAGAGGCTCAAGCTTTTTGGCACCATGACCCAAGTAGGAAGGTAGTACCTGTGGTCTCCAGTCATGTGACATGGTCTCTTCTGGACTACGGGCTTAGTAGGTAAATGGAAATGATTTAGCAACCCTAGCTTTGAAGTCATTGATTCCTACAGGAGGAAAGAGAAGAGTGAAACCTCACAAATCTTGCACAGCACAACCAGTTTCTGTCACCCACTGTTACCTCTCAGCTCCATGTTCTTGGGAAACCCTGACAGGACGCAGACTGTCCAACTCACAAAGAATCCCCCCCCTCCTCTACCTAAACAGAAACTGATTAAGATGCAGTGAGAGACTCACCTAAAACCCTCCAGATAAGGGTGACAAGAGTGAAACAACTGCCCTAGGACTCACTTGCATCCGAGATGGAACCAGATGACCATTCATTTACATGAGAGATGGAGAACAGAAAGCCTGAAGCAGAGACTGCAGTGAATTCTGGGATCAGAGAAGCAGGGGAGCACTGCATGATGGGGAAGCTGTGCTCCAAATGCTACTCAACCCACACACCCAGCTCAGCATTTATCAGACCAGTTCTAATCTGGATTTACAGAGGACTTTCCCCCCCGACACACACACCTCTAAGCAGAAGTAAAGTTTAATAGGCATCTCAGGCCATACATTCCCTGGTCCCACTATGGGAGGCCTATTTAAACTTAATTGGCTAAAACTCAGTTGCCGGGTTAGGGAATACTGAGGCAAGACACCGAGTCAGAGGGGGTATGGGCAACATTTGAACAATGGTAAAGGGTTCATCACAGCATCCAGCCCATTGGAACCCTGACCACAAGTGCTGTCATACTTTTCCCAGGACGACTGGTGGAAGGCCTCCCCTCCCAAAGGTTATGAACACTCCAATAATTGCCTTAAGTCTGTTAAAAGACTATAGTAAGATCTGGAAAAGTCATGCTAAGCTGAGGCTTGTTAACAAGTAAAAATCCAAAACCCTGATGCTGCAAGCTATCTATTGTTTCTGAAGAAACCAGGAGATATCCCATCAGTATATCTGCTATCCACAGGAATTTCAAGCTGGCTCCTAAATATCTGGTTACTCCCTAACCTTGTGTGTTTCTATCAATCAGTTTCCTGAGATGTTCCAAACCAGATAACCCTTGTCAATAGAAAAGACAATTTGATTTATACTACTAAGAATGCTTGAAAGAAGCTGAACTGAGGGTATAAAAAAATCTGTAAAAAGCAGCAGTGTGTGTGCCGACACCACCCGCTTCCTTCTCGAGAGGCTGAAGGAGGCAGATCGTCTCCTTTCAAGGATAGAGGCTGAAGGAGACAGATCGTCTCCCTTCAGGGATCGTGCTGAGAACTTTAACCTGTCAGCTTTGCAACCTGAGTGCCTTGGACTGGTGAGATCCCAGCTCTCTCTTCTCTTCTCTCTATAAGCATAGATTTCTGAACCTGAACTGTATTAGTTAAGCATGAGCTAAATTCCCCCAAATACTTAGTGAAACCAGAGTAATACTGTAATTGTTTGTGTTTGTGTTCCGCTGCATGTCTATTACTACTAATGTCATATATTTCATATATTTAGCAATAAATAACTTTTATAGTCAAACTGGTGGTAACTGGGTATATTTTTCCATCTCTGCTTCTCCTTCCCCACTTGCTCTACAGCAACGCTTCTTTTACCTAAGCTAAAGATCCTTGTGAAGCCCAAAAATACTGGGGGGTCTGCTCATCAAGAGGCCAAAAGATTGGGACGTGCTGAGTTTGAAACACATAAAGGGATCAGCTTGTACAGGCAGATTGACCCAGTTTGGCTCAGACATGCCCTAATGAACTGAATGCTAGCCCATGAGGGTGTCATCTGGACACCCCGCTGGATTCAGAGGTATTCTGTTTACCTGCGTGCTTGTGTCTGACTGTAGTTTATAGCTGCTCTGATGAACAGATTCTTGGCATATGAGGCATGCTGATCAACCCAGCCAGGTCAGGCGTGTCACGTTAATCTGTGTGTGTTTGTGTGTATGACTGATTTGGTGACTGGAGGAACCCAGCCCCACTGAAACTGAGTCCTGCAAGATAGCTTCATTGGGGGTGAGGGCTTGCAGAAGGGAGAGATACAGCTCTGTATAGAAACACAAGCAACACAAGCAGCACATTAATAGAAGTACCAAGACCCTAGAAACATATCCCAAATAAATGAGCATACCCCAAAGTAATGGGCAAATCTGGTAACACCACACAGTAAATGGAAAACAGGATGGTTCACAATATTTATTACAATATATTGCTTTGAACAAACCTGCTGTATGGTTAGTAATTCCAAACCATAAGAACTGACAGAATTAATTACAGCACAAACCACATCTCTGCAGAAGGTATGCAATGAAAGTGAAGAGGCACATAACCTTCACTGTGAAAGAAGACTACACTGAATGCCCCTAGTTTAGTGGCAGCAGATGGATCAATCAAACTACTCTCAGCAATATCAGAAGAGTCATTGCTTCTGCATGCACACTGTAGGGCCTTAAACAATAACCTCCTTTCACTGTCACTGATCTGTAAACAACTCCCCCAAACCATCTTCCTTCTGTACCTGAACTAGTATATAAACATCTATACAGAATGTGCAAATTGAATACAAGTGTATTTTAGGCCCTCTTCTTCAAACAGAAGAAAAACAAAGTTAAAAATAGTAACTCAGACTCAGCACAGGTATTCCCCCAACCCATGAAGAAAGACATCACTAGCAGTAGTGCCCAAGACATCCAATACATTAGCAGCCATGACTGTGTAATAAAATATCCAGGGGAATGTGGATAAGTTATCCAGGGAAAGCATCATTACATGGGGCAGGCTATTTTACTCCATGTACAAGTTTACAGTATCTACCACAGGTAATGTAGAATAGTTTGCATCCTACAAAAAAAAGCTGCCTTCCCCCTCGCCTCAAAAAATGTTAAAGTACAAAGACTTAAGTAAACAAATGATGTTACTAAGATCCAACTACATTGTGGGCAAATGGATTTTTGCTTCATGCTTCTACCATCTTAACCTGCTGTTTGGTGAAAGAAATATTTTAAAAGAGTGAGTGTAATAGTTATATGCCATGCTTCACATCATTTAATAGGTCAAATTTGTACAATATTGTTATGCTGGGACACTGAGTCAGTTACCCAGTTAACTGAAAATATTTGTCCTGCTGCCTTAGACCTCAATGATGTTCAGATTCTTCCTAGAGTAAATGAACAGTCTAGTACCCTTATATCAATTTGCTATAAAGTGTGTGGAAAAATAAGTTAGACAAAAATATTACAGTCTATAAAGGAGTATGCTACAACCCAGTTTCTGTATTTAGAGACTGCTGGCCAAAGTGAAAGAAAATCAAGAACAGTACCAGCCTGAGCAGAACAGGATTGATCTAAAGCACTCAAAATACTGCCAGAAATACAAACTGTGCGTTACTTCAGTGCTGAAGTGTGAACTGGAGACTGAAGAGCTGTTTACATATACAGGAAAAACAAATGCAATCTAGAAGCTCAAGCAATAGCTATAGTTCAGTCCCTGTTAAAAGCATTATTTCCAGAGGATGCTTGTTTTGTTTCGGTACAAGTGCAGATATGAACTCTCCCTTTTTCAGATAGTCTCTACTACTTTTCAGAACTTCTGCTCATGCTGGGAGTTACAGCATACAGTGCAAAAAGTACAAGTTAATTCTGTTTACATACCTCTAAACAAAATATTCACCAGTGGAACCTATCATGTGTGACCCATCTCCCACGAAAAGCTTCTGTAAATCAGAAGGTGAGAGCATACACCAAGCATGAAGGATAATACTCCCTTGGCACACATCTAGTTATTCCAAATATTGGGAGAACGAGGAATTTAGACATACTAGTTCTACAAGTACCAGGCACAAGAGCCTTTCCCCAACCCCAACAGACTTTGTGGATTAAAGTAGATTTCAATGCAATGCTGATACAGCTGCAATGATTTAAGGATATTTCCCCCTTTAAGGGATAGCAGTATGAGCCACAAACAAGGCCAAATCAAAAAGGTTTTACATTAAATAGAAAAAATTTACTTTAAAATTTGACCTCATTGGTAAATACTTAGATGCATCTGAAAACTAATTTGAAAGATTCCGAGTGCAATACAAACTCACTGCTGGTCCATTTCCATTCTTCCTCATCTCTACGCATGAAGAGACGCAATACAGTTGCCAGCTCTTTAACAATAAGGTTAAAAAAGGTCAATTTTCTATTAAGTCTATATTGCCAAGTTATAGGTGTAGTCTATCCACAGATACTCAAGAGAAGTCATTTGTAAGTTGCTCCTGGCAATAAGCTTCAAAATTTCAGAAAGGCATCATTTCACTTCTGCATGTCAGATTAATATTGTGACCATGTAAGTCTACTAAATCCATGAGCACGTAGTCAGGTGTCCACTGCATTGACTTCTTTGGAGCAGAAATAATGTACAACTATTGCATTAGGATATCTGGCAAACGCACTGTGAAGACAGAACAGCATACAAGTTAAATTGTCAATACAAGCAAAACCCAGGTTTTTCTTTCTTCAGTATACAAATGATTGAAGTTTCATAGTTTCTAGGGTTGGAAGGGACCTGAGCAGATCATCTAGTCCGACCCCCTGCCATGGCAGGAAGAGCACTGGGGTCAAATGA